TTTCAATAGCTTTTCTATTTTTCTTTTCTGCTTTTGTTTCCTTTTTGTATTGTCAGCACCTAAGTGCTCAGCGTCTATAGCACTTAAGCACTCAACTGCCACAGTTTTAAATAGCCACCCCCCCCCACAGAAAGACAATACCCCCTCTTTCCTAGGTACAAGGACATTGTTTCCTGGAATGAGCACTAATAATAATATGTGGAAAAAATACATTTTCATATATATTGCACTTAAGAGTGTTCAAAGCGCTTCCCATACATTACCATGATGTAATCCTTACAATAAATCTGTAAATTCAAAGGCAAGAATAAATTCTATGGTGGTCTGGAGATGGAGAGAATTGATTAAATTTCCCCCTCTATTTTGTTATTTGAGCCACAGGTATTTCTGGACAGAATAAACAGGGCCCAAGTGTACATACAACTGAAATAAAGCTGTATTGATTATAGAATTTGCATACCCACACACACACACACACACACATCACCACTCACCCTAATGGCCAGCTGGCTGATGACATCAAATACTGATCAATCAGGAGAACTCTCTCAACAGAGATTTTGATTTCTATTGGATTGGGGGATGGGTGGACAGCTTGCCTGAGGCTACCTGGTGAATTTGTAGCAGACTAAAGCAACTGGGCACATACGCATGCATGCAAACACAACTGATATGAACAGGTTATGTTATGCAGGGATTAGAGGGAATGAACTTGTAGCTGAAAGCTGAAAGTCTGTTTCATGTATAGCTGCCATTTGCACAGCAATCTCCTTCTTGGATTTTATGCCTATTATTAGATCTCAACAGTATCATGTTGGCAGGCTTCACAACAAGAACAGCAAAACACACTAACAAAAAAACTCTTCCAAATAAAACTTGCACTTCAAATGCGGAAGAGCTGTACTGTGCTATTGGTGGCAGAGTTGTTGTTTTTCTTGATGACTGTGTTTCTGCTTTGGTAGGCATCTCACCTGCCAAGTTTTTGGGTGTTTTTTCTAAAGAGAGGTAACTGCTGTTACACCATTTTAGCAGTCTTACTCATTTGTCCTGTATGAGTGGTAAGCTTCCTTCACAGTCCCAACCAGATACAGGACACCAACTGCTTGTCAAGATTTCAGGGTGACAGTGAGTTGAATCTGTTCCTCTTGGCCACAAGAATGCAGTGCTGCAGGCTTGGAGAACAGAGGACAAAGTACAGTGGCCTCTATAAAGTCCTGGCATAGCCCTTCCCTCCCAACCAGCTGCTACCACTGTGACACTCTAGTCATGCTCCAATGGGGGCAGACAGTTCATGTTGAACAGAAGACCTCCAGTACCTCATCTAGGAGTGAGGTCCCTCAGCGAGGGTATTGATGCAAGAAACACAAGCAGAGTGGCTTATGGGAGCTGGGGTGGGGGGTGAGAAAGAAGGATCTGTGAGGGATGGCTGTATTGGGGTTGGGTATACCCAGCACAGCAGCAGTGCGTCCAGTGCTGTGGCAACTTAGTAGAGGAACAGAAGCTTATGCCTCTAAGGGAGCCACCCTCATCCTCCATCATCTGCAAGATTATTTTGGCCTTAGACTTTTTACATTTTTAAAAAAAGTTTACTGGCTTGATTCTGCAGAGAAACCAGTATTGTAGGAACCACCACAAAGACCTGCAGTGGAAGAGGAGACTTACAGGCCGTGGTCACACTGGTGGCTTGGTGCCTCTAATTGAACCAGTTGAAAGTGTTCTGGGGCATATCAGCCACACAGCACACCCTGCTGCAGGTTACCCACATAGACATCCCATGGTAAAGCATCCACATTATCGCAGCACCTCAGCCATAGAACGCACTGCCAAAAAAATCTCAAAAATCATGCATGCACATAAGAGCTCATGTGCACGCACCTGCACATATAGGCCACTTAAAAAAAAACGCTCCCTAGCAGCAGAACAGATCTGCAGGTTCAGACTGCCAAATCCATTCTGAGCGAGCTCCCCCGCGTTCAGACATCCGGCCATGTGCAATGACTGCATGGGGAACCGAAAACATCACTTGGTACCTTTTTAACCCGGCTCCAAGTCATCCTATGACGGGATAAGTATGTCTGGGGAATGCCTGACAGATGTGGCTGTCTGACTGCGCCCATTTGATCCGGAGGGGAGGAGTGGTTGTGTTGGGCAAAACTGCCCGTGTGATCATGGCCACAGACTGTGACCAATACAATTAAGGCTGCAACCCAAACAGGCCTTTCCATTGATGATGCTGGGTCATCCTATAGGAAGGCTCAATGGTAGAGTGTCTGCTTGGCATGTGGAAGGTCCCATGTTCAATCCCACCGTCTCATGCTAAAAGGATCAGGTAGTAGGTGATGTGAAAGACCTCTGTGTGGGACCTTGGAGAGTCACTGCCTATCAGAGTAGACAGTACTGACCTTGATTGACCGATGGTTTGATTCAGTATAAGGCAGCTTCATGTGTGTGCCTGTTCTGTAAGTATATATGTGGCTTCTTGGTCTTTATAAGGCTATTATGCCTGTGCAATTGGAGAGAGTACAGATAATCCTCATGGCAGCCGGAGGGTCACAGGTTGCTTAGCTGCATCTTTGGCCAAGCAGATGCAAATGAGTTCAAGTTCCAGATGTCTACTAAAAAGCATTGTGTCATCTTAAACAATTTATAAGGCAATCTCAGGAAAGGCAAGTTGGAACCTGATCTTAATTTCAAGGCTTACAATATTTATGGAGAGGGTCTTGAGCTAGTGCAAATGGCCATAGGCAGGAACAGTCTGGTCCATTCCTGAAGCCGCAAAGTAGGCCATTCGTACATTGCGATACAGAGGGTTAGCTGGGAAAGAAAAAATACAGGAATATATATAGACAGAAGTCAGCAAAAGATCCAGCATTTCTGTTTTAAAATAAATGTTGGATGCAATGTCTAACTGGTTTTGGGAAAGAAAATGGGGAAGCCTTGTGACGTTGAACAGAAAACACAGTGCTTGTCCCTCTTTTATGCGATCCATAGGAGGAAAGTTTTGGCTGTTATCATATGAAAATTACTGATCCTGCCACAGGAGAGTTCAAGGAATAAGAACCCTTGATCCTTGAGTAACCTTCCATTGAACATGCTTATGAACATGCACATGTACATGCAACACAGAGGTGCATGCTTACTCTTTTCTACATCCATGTACTCATGCAGGCATTTAGATGCTGCTCTGTGCTTCCCTCATCCCATCCTGCCTCTTAATCAAGCTTCCTTTCTTGCCATCCAGATACTCTAAATGTGGCAGAACCTGCAAAACTTTGTGCTACAGCAGGTAAACCGCAATGTGGTCCTTATAAACTACTAGCAGTAAAGCCATTGTGAAAGCAATACAATGAGCTGTAGAAAGATATGATGTGTAACGAATGCATAGGCTGGAAGGAGGTAAAGTACATATTAGCAGTCTGTAACTGAAAGATACAAATGTGGAAGTAAAGTCTCACATGCCTTATGTTACACAATAGCTGGTGTCCAAGGTCACACAATGTGGGCCAGAAAATTCAGCACACAGGGGTCCGTGGAGTAGTGTCAACAACTGGGCAGTCTGCAAAGTAATTTAATGCTGGATGTCCGTGTCATTCAACGTGGTCGTGGTCACACTGTCCACCATGTTACAGGAGAGGAGTCCAGGGGAGTTCGGTTGAAAGTGAGTGGTTGTGACGAAGGTCTCAGTAGGTTATGTTGGAATGAAAAGGAGGAGCCCAGGCAAATTAGTGTTGTGAAATGTCTATAGTTTTCATTGTGAAAAAGGCATGTGTTTTTTGGCGATGTTGTGAGCAAAGTTGTGCATTGAAGTTTAGGGTCTGAATGCATGGCTAGACACGTTTATCTCCTCTCCAGGCAAGTATCAAGGTAGTACATGTGTTTTCCCCGAGTGTTCAGGTTTACACACACACCCCTGACCTGCAGTCACATCCATGGTCTGAAGCCCTGAGTGCCACGTGACAGTGTCTGTTGTAGGGTTAGGAGTGTGTGACATGTGCAGAAAGTGGGGGAGTTAGGCACGGCAGTCAGTGGATAGGACAGGCTCTGAGTGACACATCATGTAGGCAGGTATGACTGTGTATCACGGTTTTGTGAAATGTTCAGTGCACAGGATGACTGGGTGCAATTCCCTCCTCAATGAGTTAAAATGAGTTGATATGCTTTATTTAGTTAGGGGGGAGTCTGCTCCCCCTTGTTTAGGCTTGATGCGATCATGCGAGTATATATTTTTAAATAAATCAACATATTCAAATAAGCACTGGCTTTCATTTTTCCCAGACAGGAGAACAAATCAATCTTGTAGATGCCTCATATGATAAATGCTCTTTTGGATCCTACTTTAGAGCCAGGGGTCTTAAAGCAAGGGTGGGCTCCAGATACACTTCACTTTGTTGTAGTAGCACAACTATATAGTATGTACAACTATATCCGTGAATGTTCCATCTGTTTCAGTGTGTTTTCATGGGCATAACAGTGTGCAGTACTGCAGCCCTTAAAAGCAAGGATACAACAGGGTCGATCTTTGAATACTTTATGGCAAAGGAGGCCATGAGAGGAAAAGATGAGCCCAATTAATGTTTCCCACCCGCACTTTTTATCTGAGCCAAAATTCCATCTTTAATGTAACAATAGCTCAGTGTAGTCCCTGAGAACACATCTTTGAATTATTTCACATGCACATATGCAGTGCTTTAATTTTCAACAGTCCTCAGGTGCATTACTAAATAACTGACATTGAACTGAACTGACTGGAGAATAGACCCCATTAAAATAGTTCTTACAATAGTAAAAGTTAATATGCTCATTATTAGAGTGTTGATAGAAGAGGTTTTAAAGTAGCAAGGCGTTGACCTCCTCCTTTCACTGCACCTACTGCGGGGTGATGTTTGCTCAGTAAGTATTTCTTGGCTAACCCAAGTCCTTTGAGCATTATTATTATTTATGTATGTTTCTCTCAGAAGGCCGGCTTTTTGTTCAAGATCATGTTTTTTTTTTAATTCCAGCCTTGAAGGAGATGCTTTGATGGATTATAACGTCAACAAATGTCTACCCCAAAACTAGCAATGACAACCCAGAGACTTAAAACAGATCTTTCACTTTCCTCGAAAGGGACTGGGCCTCAGTCTTTAGAGTGTTTTTGATACTCTACCTCCCTCTACTGTTATTCCTAAGAAGTTCTCCAATGATGGGAAGTCATGTACTAGCCGCTTCAATTTCCATGCTGTCTCTTCTGGTGATCATGGGAGACGCAGATACTAAAACGGACAGTACCTTCATGATTGACTCAGACCCTGGACGCTGCATGAGGCACCATTATGTTGATTCCATCAGCCACCCTTTGTACAAGTGCAGTTCAAAGGTAAGATATGGATATAGACATAGATGTAAATACAGATATAACGTGAGAGAACAGTGTGGTTATATAAAACTGAATCAAAAATTGGATTTTACAAGTTCCGTACTTTCTGAGCAACATTGTTGTTACACAAAAATGGCTGCCCCAAAAGCTGAGTCAGGTCAAATAATGTCAGTCCCTGAGGTACTTTTTTGAGGGTCTCAATACAATCTTGAAAAGGTCATTAAAAAAAAAAAGGTCTGATTTCTGAGCTGATTCTAGACATTTTTGTCCATTGAAGTGAGGTTAAAATGATGCCTTCCATTATGTTTCTGAAAACACAAGGAAATGAATCAGGATCCAAAGAGTGCCATGTCGTGTCACAATCTGCTGTTGAAAGTCCCCTTAGTTTCAAAAGCCATTTGTCGTGTGGTGTGAGGATATGATTACCCACATCCAGGTGGGTCTTGGAGTTCTCCTGGAATTACAGCTGATCTCCAGAGTACAGAGATCTGTTCCCCTGGAGGAAAGGTCAGCTTCAGACAGGGGCAGTGATCTCTATGGTATCACGTCCCTGCTGTTCTCCCTCCTCTCACCAAACTCTGCCTTCTCCAGGTACTGCCTTCAAATTTCCATGAATTCCCTAAGTCAGAGCTGGCAACTCTACATGAGGAACTATTTGGACGATTAGTTCTTTTGATCCTGATCATGGGGCAAGACAGTGATGACCTTTCCTGGAAGCTGCTGTTAGCAACGTGCCTCACATTTTCTCATGATAATGTCCGGTTTACACAATATAATTCTTGGTCCCTCAGGTATATCCCTCCATGAAGAAACCGATGAACTGCTCAATCACAACACAGTCAGCTGCACTTTTCTTGGTGGTGACAGCCATTTTTCCAACCACTGCAATCACAAATTTCTGCTGACATATCTTTGATCGGCCAGATCACATACTAAGTTTCTCCACATCTGTGCATTCCTGGAGAAGGCTGAGGTTGCCTCATGAGGACACAAGATAGATTATGTGAATTGGCAGATGTTCTTCACAGTGACGGAGGTTCATTTGAAAATGAGGCAGCAAAAAATGCTCAAAGAATTCCATTTTTAAATTTAAAATTCCACACTCTTGAAAAAGTGCTGATACCTATATCAAGTTCATAAAGTGTGTGACAGATTAAGTGATATGCAAATAATAACAATATTTAGAAAAAAGTAGTCAATTAGCTACACTATTTATTTATTCCATTTATACCCCACCCTCCCTGCCAAAGACAAAGAGTCTTCTCTCACCTTAAAGACTGGCAGATTTATTCATGAGAGCCCACCATCAAATGTGTTAATGTATCTAATGTGGTGGGTTCTGGTTCACAAAAGCTTTGCCATCATAAAGTGCTGTGAGACCCTTGCAATCCCAAGAACACTTTCCTGGGTGTAAACCCCACTGGGCAGACTTCAGTAGACCTGCTCAGGATTTCTCTTTTTATTGTTTGATTCCCCACTTCTCCACATGCAAATACTGGTGTGACCTTGGGTCAGTCACAAGTTCTCTCAGAGCTGTTCTCTCAAAGGCAGTTCTTGGGAGAGCTCTCTCAGCCCCACGTACCTCACAGGGTGCCTGTTGTGGAGAGGGGAAGGGAAAGGGATTGTAAATCGCTCTGAGACTCCTTTGGGTAGTGAAGGGCAGGGTAAAAATCCAATCTCCTCTTCCTGCTCCTGCAGAATTCCTTCCTGTGATACTTCCTAGTGTGCTGAATGAGTTATTTGTCCCTGTGTGAACTAAAAAGGCAGAACATCTACTGGGGCTTATTTTGTTTTGTGCTGAATTCCTTTTGACTGGGCTTAGTAGCAGGACTGCAGCCCTCATTCAGTTCCTTAAAGTATGTCCTTTTGTTATTCCCTTCTCAGTCATACCCATGCAATGGAATTTTTCATGGGCCTCAAATTGTGATGGAATTAGAGACAGTTTTACCGACCATTTTGGAGCCATACTGTTTATTACAGACAATAGTTGATATCAGTGTGCTTGCAAAGGGAGGCTTTTAAAAATTCAAGAGGATTGCATAAACCTAAATTCATAATAACAGAATGATTCAAAGAAAAATAACTTTGACAGTACCCCTTGAATGTAAAAATAAAAGTCATGTAATACCATTTATCAGGATCAGCCAGAATATTTCAACTAGCAAGCTTCTGAGTTTCTAGATATCTTCACCAGGTTCATCAAAACATTAAAAAGGGCATGATAGAGATGTCTCAGTCTTCAGAGTCTTAAAATGGAATACAGAGTATGTTTCAGATATAATTGGATTATGTGCTGTTGGGTGCAAAATAGGTTTCTATGATTAACAAGTACTACTGGGACAATAAAAAGGTCTTTTAAAATTGCTGTTTTCAGAATTCTCCAGTGGCCCAACACAATTTTTCTATGGCTCCCTATAACTTTTGTCTAACTTCAAGCTAGAAAAGCTCACAATTATACCAGGATCTCTCCATGCCTTAGTAGATTTCATATCTTGTTGCATATTATGCTATTGCACACACCCTGATTTTTCTACAATACACAGTGATGTGTGGCTCCAGCCCTTGCTTGGCACTTTCTCTCAGTGAACTCATATTGCCCAGATGGCTCCTCCTCCTCTATATCATTTCTATCCCACTCTTCCATCCATAAAACGGACCATCAGGACACATTACACAAAGTTAACACAGATAATAACATTATAGTAAAAAGAGAGCTGTCAAGTAGGATGGGAAATACCTGGAAATTTTGGGGGTGGAGCCTGAGGAGAGTGTGGTTTGGGGAGGGACTTCAGTGGGCTATAATGCCATAGAGACCCCCTTCCAAAGCCGCCATTTTCTCCAGCTGAACTGATGTCTGTCACCTGGAGATCAGTTGTAATAGTGGGATATTTCCAGCTACCACCTGGAGGTGGGCAGCCCTTGCCATCAGCCAAGAAGCAACACCTGATCCTCCTCTTATCCATGCCATAAAACTACCATCAGTTTAAAATCAGTATCTTTAAAATATTAAAACCAGATCCAACATTAACCAAGTCATTGAACAGCAACATAACTGAAAATAATTCTTGGTGAAAACTATTGTCTTTGGCATGTAGCAGAATGCCGGAAAGGGCAGGGTAAAACAAACCTCTCTTGAGAGGGAATTCTTGGCAAATGTAAGATGCCACATTTGCCTCATGTATTCAATTTCTGTTTTACAAACCAAATGCACTGTACTTTCATTCCTACTTACTTAGACTTGTTTTAAGTATGTTTTCACATTAGTATTTGGAACTGTTCTACTTCTCAGTGAAATCACTCTGGCAATCTAGAATCTGTTGACACATATCCAAAGAACAACTTATTTGTATTTTCTCAAATGGTGGATGTATTATATGGCCACAGATAGTAATAATGAAAAGGTTTGCTCTGCCAGTAGCATTTGGGTTGCTATTGCTGTTAGTTTTATGACAAGCGGGACCCCTGCAACTATCCCGTACCCCACTATTTTATCTTTCCCTTCCCTAAATGCCCCATAGCCTCTTCCGTTTTACTGCTTCCTTCTCTACTTCCCAGCCAACCTACCCTTATCTGGCCCTGACTTTCCCTCCTTCTGTCCCCCTGGTAATCTCTATCAAGGAAAACTATTGGCCAGGCCCAACTGCAAGAATGTATGGGGCACCTCACTTTCCCCTCTATCCCTCTCCCCACACTATTTCCTTTTTTCCTCTTCCTGGGAACTCTGATATCCTCACCTTTCCCTGCTTCCTTTCCTTCCCACCCACTCACCAACTTGTTTTATTTGCCCCTCCATCTTCAACTGTATGTATTATTTATTTTCTTCCTTTATACCCCACCTTTCTCCACAATAGGGACCCAAAGCAGCTTACTTCATTTTCTTCTCTACTTTATCCTCAACACAAACCTGAGAATATGTGACTAGCCCAAGGTCATCCGGTGAGGTTCTATGGCTGGGTATTTGAACCCGGGTCTCCTAGATCCTGAAAACCTAACAACTGCATCACACTGGCTTTCGTGAGATAGATGCTTTTGAGCAATAGCAAATAGTTGAGCCAGGTCATGCAAGCTGTATGGCAGCTAGTCATCTGGTGGTTGCTGCCTGGCCTGATAAATCCTCCGTCAATGGCCAAAACAACCCTGGAAAGTGTCCTGTCCCCTTCCCCTAAGTTTTACTGACAGGTACCAATGCTTGAAGGCTGGCAGTACTGTTGTGGCTGCCTAACAATGGCCATTGTGGACATTAATTTCTTAAAGCTGTGGGCGCCGTTTCTCTCATTTGAGGGGTTTTTATTTTTTGTTTTAGATTTCAGTTTTTTCTGCAACTCTCAGGTTTGTACAAAGATCTGTCTTGTATGTCTATGGCCCCAGTGTCCAGATTTAAGTATCCACAGATGGGGCCATGGAGAATTAGATATAGTGCCAAGTGGGGACCCACAAGGAACTTGTGGAGAGGATGCATCCCTTCCCCCCCTTTGCTTCCTGCCCTCTTTTCCCTTCTCTAACAATCTTCCCACTCTTTCTTCCTTCCTCCCATTCTCTGACAGTCTCCCCCTCTTTCTCCCCTCCTGTTATCTGTCAGCCTACACCCTCTCCCTTTTGCCCCCACCCTTCTCCATCAATCTTCTCCTCCCCTTCTCTGTCAGTCTATTTCCCCCTTTCTCCTCCTCCCCTTCTCTAACCTACCCCCATTCCCCCCTCTTTCTGTCCCTCCTCTTCTCTGTCAATTTACCCCCTCTCCCTTTTGACCCCCACTCATTCTCCCTCAATCTATCCCTCCCCTTCTCTACCAGCCTACTCACTCTCTATTTCTCTTCCCCCTTCTTGTCAGCATTTCCCTATTTCTCTTTCTTCCCCATTCTTACTTTACCGAACATGGCAGCTGTGGTATAGGGAAGTTCCTCTAGGCTCAGAGCAGCTCTTCTGTCTCTGAGCCAGGTGTGACCCCAGCCCCAGCCCTAGTGGTGTCTGGGAGCTGCTCCGGGCCCAGAGAAAAGCTCATG